TGTGTGTGTGTGTGTGTGTGTGTGTGTGTGTGTGTGTGTGTGTCGTCGCATACGGCACGCTGCCTTCTGCAATGTGTGCGTCCCAACGGGAATGGTGCAACCTCCATAGCTTCCACATTGCGTGAGAGCTTGTCGGCCTTTGGGTGCGTACGTCAGCTTAGCCGGTTTTGGTGCCCTTATTACGCTTTATATAGACCGCTTACAACCGAGCAGCTTCCCTTGTGCTATTTCGGAGGTCACAGGTTCATTGCAGGAAGAAAACTCAGAAACCATTTTCGTCGTGATCCATGCCTTCAGGTGTGTAAGGCTCGTTGTCTCACTAGCAGCACCTCCACAACCTATCTGAATCACAGAAGCATTTTCACCTTGTTGTTCTTACAGTTATGCACACATACCATATATAGAACTTACCTTGATACATGTTTCTTGCTTTTCAGACCCTCAATGTGGGACTTCTCTGTGCTTATAATGACGCAGCTATCACAACGGTTGGTATAGTTGAGAATTTTGCTGTTGTTCGTTTCTGCTGTCTTGATAAACAGTGGCAACTATGAATTAACTCTTCCATTCAGTACATTGGATGGAAGGCAACAGCTGGTGCCGTGGGTGTGGCATGGGACAAAATTCGAAACGATGGTATATTACACGATTACGATACCTTGAAGTTAGTGTGCATTAAGTCTTAATAGATTTTTTAACGAATGGATTTCTTCTTTCAAATGCAAGCCTACCTTGAAATCTGAATTTCTGCTGAGATGCCTTCCCATTACTGATAGTATGAATCAGACGATTGAAAAACAAGTTTTTGTCACTCTTACTTATTGAAGAGATTATGTTCAGCTTGACATGGGTGTTCAGCGATTGTATCGAATCCACTGATGCAGGAGCACTGATCAGCTGGGTGGATAGTAAGGCAGATGTTGTTCTTGGACCTCCGTGTTCTAACTGTGAGGGCTTCCTTAATTTCAGTTTCACTTTGTTTTGCAAAAAGTACTGCTGCCTAAAATACATCGGTTTCTATTTCTAGGTAAGGTTGGTGTATCTCTCTCAAAAATACTTTCTGAGATTTATAGCATATATGTTCCTCACTATGTGTAATCCACAAGTTTGGTGTGCCTATATGTATGTATGTACAGTAGCGCTCAAAAGTCTTCGGTGAAATGCTTTGACGCTTTTTTGTTCATAATTTTTTTCTTAGTAGACCAAATAGCGCAAAATTTGAATATCTTTAACTAGAGCATATTCAACTTTACCGAACACTATTTGACTGCGAAGCTGCAATA